AAAATCGGTCATACCATCGGTCATGGTATGACCGATTTTAAAAGTGCCAGTTTTCAAAATCGGCTCTTTTAAAATCGATCACAGAACCGATTTTAAAAGTCAAAAACGACCGATTTTAAAAGTGTTTTTTCCACTAGTGTTTGGTGTTCTTGTTTTTTCAAGAGAAAATTTGGTGAAATTGGTGGATCTTCTATTGCATGTGTTGTTTATTGATTGAAATGAGCAGTGGATGATGCATATGTATATTGTGTTATATTGCATGTTGGTATTTTTTGATTTTTAGGTGGTTTGAGTCAAATTTGTGGGTCTGAAAGTGCAGAACTTGCATCAAGTGCGCCTTCATGGCACGAGCGTTGTTTTAATCAATGGTTCTCTGTCATGCTTAGATCGAGCATAGGATTGGTGGCATTGAACGCGAGGAAAAATAATTATCTCGAATTGAAATAATGTTGGGTGTGGTTTGAATGGTGTCAGACATAAGATTATAAAATTGACTCTGCTTAGATTGGTGTCAAACGGGAGAAGAGAGACTCATTGCTACATGAAATGGGGTCAAGCATGGGACTTTGCCATGCTAGGCTTGAGGACCCAAGGGTCACTACTTCATCCATGCTAAGTGTGGGTTGAATGGCATCGGGTGTGGGTGAAATAGAGGCTTCCTTGCTTCAATGGCGTTGGGCGTAGGGTGGATAGCATTGGGCGCGTGAGTTTCCTTATAAAAATTTGTTGTTTAATTATTTTATTAATTGGTGAACATGGATAGGTTAGATGAATCTATTGCATGTTATATATTAATAGGTGATATTTGTTCTATGTATATTGATATAGAATGATATATATAAATGGTTGTATGATTGGATAATTGAGGTGCTTTTATATGTATAAGTTGATTAATATTGTTAGATTTATATTCATTGACCTAGGATAATGCATATAGATGAATATTGTTGAAGTGTGATGCTGAAAATGCTTTAGACCTTTAGGCATGATTTGTTGACCTATTAAGGTATTGATATCGAGTGTTATAAACATTTAGACATGTTGTGTTGATACGCTATTGAGGTGTTAATTCCTTAAAAGATATTTAGATAAATTAATACATCAACAATAGAAATAATAAAATAATAAAAAAACAACTTTTTTTTATAATTAAAATAGGTGTTTGATTTATTTATTTTTTAAAAAAGAGCAACAATAGCCCATTAACTTCTTTAAAAATTTATTTGTAATTTATGCATCTACTAGTTTTGACTTAAAAAAACTCATTCAATTATATTTTTATTTATTTTTCTTTAAAAGTGTTTCTAAAAAAAACTATTCAAACTATACTAACCATATGTAGCTAGTTTAGTGCTAACACAACTTATAAATGAAAAAAATTAATTAAAATGATAAATTAATGCAAAATATTTTCAATTGAAATAATTAAATGATTTTCTAGGTGTTTAATTTAATTAAGTAACTAATGTATTTATTATTTTGTGTAAATAAGATAATTATATATAGGCTTAAATATGTTCAAACTATCTCTAATTTGGCTGGTTTTCAGATTACTACTTATTATATTTTTTTAATTACTTGACTATTTTTTTTTTCACTTTAGTACATGACGTTAGTTCTCCTCCTTTAAGTGATGACGTGACTGACAAACTGCCACGCTGTTACCCAACAGTGTCTGCCACATCATTTAAATGACTGCCACGTAGACATTTAATTAGATGACGTGGCAGACACTATTGGGTGATGGCGTGACAGTCCGCCTGTCATGTCATCACTTGATAGGGGGACTAACGTGAGATACTAAATTGAAAAAAAATAATAATCAGGTATTTAAAACAAAAAATAATAAATTAATAGGTAGTAACATGAAAACCAACCTAATTGGAGGTAGTAATCTGAAGATCGACCTAATTGAAAGTAGTTTGAACATATTTAAGCCGCACTTGAATTTTTTTTTAACAGTATCTTAATTCATGGGACAATATAAAACATTTGTTGCTTTTGCTTCTAATTATAAGTGCTTCATGTCTTCTTCGTCTTATTAATCTTCACTTTTCTCCACTTCTTCATTGCCCACTATCTTTGTTGGAATTTTTGGTTCATTTTTTATGACAAACCAAAGTTTGAAGCCGACGGATTGTATGAATATTCGCATACGCTCCTTTTACTCAGTGTAATTTATGTCATCGAAATATGGAAGCCTCAAAATAGGTTATCCTTCAGCGATGATTTTCAGAGTACTACCTCCAATTAGGTTGATTTTCAAATTACTACTTCCAATTAGGTCAGTTTTCAGATTATTACCTATTAATTTATTATTTTTTGTTTTAAATACTTGATTTTTTTTTAATTTAATACTTGACGTTGGTCCTCTTCTGTTAACTGATGATGTGGCAAGCAGATTACCACGTCATCACCCAATAGTATCTGCCATGTCATCTAAATGTCAATGTGACAATCCTTGATTTAGATGACGTGGCAGACACTGTTGGGTGATGACGTGACAATCCGTCAGCCACGTCATCACTTAACGAAAGAGGACTAACGTCGGGTACTAAATTAAGAAAAAAGAATTAGTCAGTTAATTTAAACAAAAAAAAAATAATAAGTAATAATCTAAAATTGGCCTAATTGGAGGTAGTTTGAACATATTTAAGCCTTATATATAATTTAATTTTATACTTTATTTTAATTTTTAATATTTTATGAACAACAATTTTTATTTTATTTTATTTCTTATTTTTTAATTTGCTAATTTACTATGAACATTGTACTTTTTTAAAATAAAAATTAAACTTTACATAATACATATAATTTATTTTAATATATTACTTTTGTCTTTAGAGACAAAATCACTATCTTGTGATTTTAAAAAAATTATATTAAAATTAGTGAAAATTGATGAATTAAAATTTAAAACTAAGTCAACATTAATACATTAAAAGTGCATTGATTATCTAAGTAAATTATAATATTTTAAAAATAATATATGTAAATTATTATATTGAAAAAGTAAGAAAAATATAATTTTTTTTATAGCAAGTAAGAAAATATTAAAAATATTAAAAATCCTTTTTATAATACATAAAAATTTAAAAAAATAAAAATGCATTATTATAATTGAAGTATAAATTTAAAAATAATTTTATCATCTTAATTTAAATATTATTTATTATTTTAATTTAAAATATCATTCATCACATTAATGCTCTTAATTTTTATTATTCATTTTATTAATTATGTGAGCATTAAAATAATTTAAGTTAATGATAGGAACTAAAAAAAATCACTAAGAAAATATCATGGATCTAAAAATAACAATAACAAAAAATTGTAAGAACTAAAATGATGAGCTCCAACATTGATCAAGCTAATGGTACTCTTGATCTTGTGAACAAAATCCTTAATCTTTGGTCCACTTCTAATGCGGCTGACTTCTGCATGATGATATGGAGTATCTGGACTAGCAGGAATAATCTCCTATGGAAAGATATGCCTTGGAATATATCTGAAATTGTCCACCGTGCCCGTAACTCCAGACAAAATTGGACCTTGGCTAACCAGCGGCCTCTTGATGCTAGAGGTATTCTTGGTCCCACCTTGACTACCCAATGGTCTCCCCCACCCCATGGTTCATACAAGTGCAATTTTGCTACATTCCCTAACCCTGATGAGAATACATTCAGAATTGGTTTCTGCATTAGAGACAGCTTGGGTTCCTTTGTGGGTGCACGCACTCTCAGGATCCCTGGTCTCCCTCCTGCCAGTATTAGAGACGCTATTGCTCTCATGCAAGCCATTATTTTGGCTTCGAAAAATCAATATACGCCCATCCTCTTCGAGTCTAGTAGCAGCAGAATTGAAAGTTTTTTCCGTCATCCCAACCTAAAGGATAGAACTGAATTTAGTGACATCATGAACTATTGTAGAAATAAGATTAATTCTAGTGCCAACTTTAATGTAAGTTTCACCCATAGATCAGCTAATTTGGTGGCTGCCAATCTTGCAAAGGCCTCCAAATGTTATGCTAATCTTAAGGATTTTGCATACATCCCAAATTGTATCTTCTCTCTTATTGTTAATGAATTGAGCTAAGGCTCAGCTCTTAAAAAAAAAATGATAGTATTTTTTTTGTTGTTGTTGATTTGAATCATATTGAAAAATTAGCCATCTTGTAATGTTTTATTAACGTAATTTTTGCTTTTGGCATATTCACGCACTAAGAATAAAATCTTATTCTAGTGAGGCTTTCTTTTACACCAGCAGGATAAAAAAAAACAATTATTAAATAATGTTTAGTTAAAGTGGAGGAAAAGAATTTCTATAATTTATTTGTTTTGTTTTGTTTGATCTTTAAAAGGGAAAAGGGTAACTTCCTTCTATCTTAACTCTTCTTAAATATTGAGATATTTAGAGAGATAAGAGAAGAATTAAAATATTTTAAATATAATCTTAAATTTATTTATTTATACTTATAAGGAATATTTAAACTTATATATATATATATTAATTAGTTATAATAGTGATATAATAATAATAACAATAATAAAAATATAATAATAATAATAACAATGACAATAATAATAATAATAAAAATATAATAATAATAATAACAATGATAATAATAAAAATAATTATAATAATAATATTAGTGATAATACAATATAAAAGTTTTTTTTTTTTTTTTATGATACATGATAGTAGTTTATTTGTAATCTTACCAGAAGATTACAAAGATAGTTGTAATGAGAATTGAACCTACATCCCATTTTTATAAAAAAAATAAATAAATCTTACCAGAAGATTTTAATGGAAGAGTACTTTGAGTCCATATTTACCAAACCCACACTCATAAAAATGACTTTCTCTCGGACTTAGAACAAGAAACCTAGCCCGCAAACCAATACTTTTAACTCAAACAACAGTAGAACTAGATTGAAGTACATGTGTTCAAATCAAGATAGAAAAGTTTGTGATCATTATTATATATATAGCCCAGATTGAGGTTGTATTTGTTTACATATTCAAATTATTTAAGTTATTAGTGATATTTGATCCAATCCAACCTATACATAAACTAGAGTATTTAACATGCAAAACAAAGGAAACAGAAATTGAAGAAGAATCATATATATTATCAGGGCGTGGAAAAAGAAGCATCCCTTGGCAAATCGAAGTGGGTCCAACAATTGGCCAATAAGAAGTCTGCATCGTGAGTTTCAGGTCCAAAAAGGGGTGGTTGGGTGGCTTGCAAAGCATGATCTACCATTATCTCAGAATCGGACCACAGCATATCATCACCTGGCAACGGTGGCAACTCAAAATTTGTATTTGTGGTAGTATCATAACTGTTACTATATTCTTGATGCTTCTGGATAGAGTTGAACCTGCACGAGTACATTTGGACACTCTCACCGAAATGGGATTCTGTGGATTGATCATGAAAATGCAGACACTCACTAAGACCAAGTTCTTCAGACAAAGCAATATCAATGTTCAATAGGGTTGAATACTCGGGAGAATGGTAGGAATGATCTGTTTGCTCTTGATCTGGCTTCTGATTATTGAGAAAACTTGCATAAACTTGTGCAAGATCAATATTTGGACCATCGCACACCACTGAAGATGAGGCCCTTCCAAAATCATCAGAATGCACAACTGAGTTATTGACTTGTCTTGAGGTCTTACTGTATTTACCCCTTCTACTTTTGCGGCAACCACCACCAATAGGCACGTTGCGAAGGGATCCTCCTCTGGTCCAGTACCTTCTGCAACCTTTGCAAAAGTACCTTGGTTGAGTTAAACTGTAGTTATTGTAGTAGCAGAACTTGGTATTGGAAGAACCACACCTAGGACAATTTGGTGAAACCTCAACATTATTAGCCTTCCAGCCTCTCTCCATCACAACTCACATATTAATGCATTTCATTTCCCTCTCTCTAGCTTTTGTTCGTCGACTCAGAGAGAGAGAGGGGGGGGGGGGGGGGGGGGGGGGGGGGGGGGGGGGGGGGGGGGGGGGGGGGGGGGGGGGGGGGGGGGGGGGGGGGGGGGGGGGGGGGGGGGGGGGGGGGGGGGGGGGGGGGGGGGGGGGGGGGGGGGGGGGGGGGGGGGGGGGGGGGGGGGGGGGGGGGGGGGGGGGGGGGGGGGGGGGGGGGAGGGAGGTTTCAAGAAAGGTGAAGTGCAAAGGCTATCTATATAGAGTTTAATTAAACATAAAACTTATATGCAATAACATATTAATGGTATGTTTTTTTATTAGAATTAGAGTTTTTTTCTCCATAATATAAGTAATACTCCGATTCTAATCGAAGAATAATACTACTTTTCTTACTTAATTTGAGTTTGATGGATGGTGAAGCTTGAGATCCTATATAGCACATTGAGTGTTGTGGTGAAGTTTGTTTTAAAATAATGCACGTGAGAGTATGATCTTGGAAATGTATATGCAGCCATGCACATGAGCATGCATGGGGTAAGTTAGGCCAGGTGGTGTCAGGTCCCGCGGGCTAATGCATGGTGTCGGTGTTTACCATACGTGGCATGCTGATATTGGTGGAGATGATGGTGATGATGGTGATTGGGGAAGCAAAACGCTCTCCCTTGCATCATTTCAGGTTTCTTCTTTCAACAACTAACAACTTAGATATACGGGAATTAAGCAGATCCCACAACAAAAGTTTAACATCCCAACCTCAATCTTCCCCTGATATCCCCCAAGACTTGAAAATATAAATTAAACTAATCGATCACCGTGTACGAAAAGAAAAAAAATTAAGAAATCACAGCTTTGATATAATACAGTTTTTTAATCGTGCGTCCTAATCATTGTTCAGCGCCCTCGTGCGCTGATTATGTTAATTATTTTTTTGGCATTAATTCTGGGAGCAGTCCACTGATTCTAGTTGGTTTCTTTTCAAACTGTTGATTTGCTTTAACTTGGTTTATTTTGTACGCTGCTTAACTTGTGATCAAACTGATATCAATTATAGCGAATTTTAGAGCATGTATAGTTAGAATTTAAGCAAAACTTTGTTTGTTTTATGCAATTATGCTAATACTCAAGACTCAAGTGACTTGGAGCATTGTGTTTGTTATGAAGCTAGCTCTGATCGACGAGTGCTTTAATTTTTCACTCATGTTTTCCTTTTATATATAACATACAGTTCATGAGATAAAATAACCCGATTTGAAATTAAACAAACTTTTTGGTGAGTGCAGTTCCATTTTGTAAGTTATGTCGACTTTCGTTGGCTTCAATTCTCTAAAATGTACGGTACGCTAATTGCTCGACTCTTATTCAAGAAAGAAGCACATGGGGTTAAATATTATTATCGAGTAGGCATGGTTTTCTGAAGAAAGAATGTCTCTTAATTTCACGATAATAATAAGAGATGGTTAATTCTTATTGCTTGGATCTTGAGCTTCTCGGATCATGCGCAAGCTAGCTCTTTCCTGAAACTATACTATATCAATGAAATAGAAAATAAAACTCCATCATGGAGCAAACGTTAGTAATTACTTGGTGTGAAGGAATGCTTCTCCATCTCTTTCCC